AAGCAGCCCTGTGAGGGAACGGCCGGGTGTGTTCGCTTGGGGCACAGCGGGTCTCGCGAGCCTTCCTCTCCAGCCTCTGCCGCGCGCCTCGGGCCGGGGTACTGAGCGCTATTCCTATGGCAACGCCCCTCCCGGCGTCTTCGACCCCGCGGGATCTTGGCAGGGTGCCGGGCCGGTCGTGAGGTCCCGTGCCGGCACTGAGTGCAGCCTCGGGGATCCCGAGGGCCGCCGGGGAGGCTCCTTTGATTACCGGCGGTGCTGGGACGGCGGGGGACGTAATCCTTCTCCTTAGGAAATCGAAACTGCTGTCCTGGCAGGTCCCGCATCCGGAAGGGGTATATCCCTCCCCTGCGAAAGAGCTTAGGACTCTTCCTAGGGTGAGAGGTGGGGGTGAGCCAGGGCTGTCACGGGCCAACGAGCCAAACAGGAGGGGGCTGTAGGCTCTGGGCTCCCCAGCAGCCTCGAGATTCGGGGCGGCTGGGATTCTTTCCCCAGGTTGAGAGATGTGAACGGGAGGAGGGGGTTTGCTTGGTAGAGGAGTTGCCCAAGGTCACGCTGCTCCTAAGAGATGTGCTAAACCAGACCTCGACTCCTTTGCCTCTCAGTCCTGTCTTTACCCGCTTTTCTGGCGCTTTCTTTGTGCCCCTGCAGGTGAAGGCAATTTGGCCTCTCGGATTGAGCCGACCTTAACGTACCAATATTAGAAGCCTTCATTGTCAAAGCCTTGTACAGGTGGCGGGAAAGGAGACCCAGAGATGGGAGTTACCTGCCAGGGACCCTAAAGTGAAGCTGTCGGACCTGGCTAGTGTGCTTCTCCTGTTCACCCCATTACTGGAGGAAAATACTCCTTATTTGACTTAATGTCTATTGAGTGACTGCACTGTGCTGGTCCTCCACCTGTCCGATTGGTTTTGAGCTAAGCTTTGTCTGAACCTATCTTTACTTGGATCTTACTTTTGGGCAGCACCTGACAGTTTGCAGGCTTTTCTCATTTGGATTAGACTTGGCAACAACCTTGTGAAGGAGGTCCGGCATGGGTGTTACTTGCACTTTATAGATAAAGGAATTGAGGCCGAGTTCTAGAGCTATCCGGGGCAGGCACCCACTTTTTGTCTGCTCTTTCTACCATGTTAGACCCCCTGAGGGGGAAACATCAGATAAATATTGTATGAAAGCAGAGGAGGATTAAAAGGAACCGAAGAAAGCTGAGGCATCCCCTGAAGCTAGTTTTTGGATGAGTCACAGAATGTTGTTTAAGATTTTTTAACACAGTGGGCAGCCAGTGAAATGGAGCTTGTTGTCCAGAGCAGTGAGTTGGGGTGGAAAGGTTCAGGAAGGCTTTACGTGAGGTGGCGGGTACTCCAGCACTTTTACACCAGTTAGGGGAGTTAAGGAATGTTTGGGCAATACATTACCAAGATTGAAACTGTAGAAGGCAGTTGGTTTTTCATTCAGCAGTTTTACTGAGCACCTGCTCTGCCTCGCAGTTCGGTTCCAGCCTGAAGAGCTCCTACTGGCTGAATATGCTGATTGTTATCCTGCAATTGCCTTGAGATTTGTGTTAGGATAACCTTGAGAGACATGCAGCTGGTAGAGAACACACCTTAAAACATCCTTTCAGGGTTAAATTGGCAAGGGAGTACAGACAGGTAAGCATAGTCAGGAGGTTCTGACTCGACAGTTTTTACTTTTTTTGTGTGTGTTCCAGTTTCCTAGCCTGTGCTCTGACTTAACCTTTTTGGAAACAATGTCACAGACTTTGGGAAGAATTGAGTGGAGCATCCTAGTCCAGTTACCTCATTAAACTGAAACTGCTTGTTATGCACAGGAAGGCAAGGTTATCTAAACAGTGTTTTGCGGGGGGGTGTTAGGCAACATGTACTTTAAAAAAGAATTTATCGGAGCTGGCTATGCTTGTTCAGAAATACTCATTTAAATATAAATAGCAAAAATCTGTGTCATGTAACAATTGGATGATCTGTAAGCACGCTCTGTGGGAATTTCCCTGATAATGGTCTTCGTTAGGTGGTGTGAGTGTGAGCATGTGGGAAATTGCGCTTAGGAATAGTAAATAGAACCTGCAGGGGCTGAGTTATATATACAGTAACTTCTTAACGCGACTCGTTTAGAAACCAAGCTTCTTTCTTTCCTTGCATCCATGGGTATTGGTTTGACCATATATATTTAGCTAAAGTCTTTCCTAAAATTAGTTGCCATTTCCACTCTACATCTCTGTAGCTGTCCTTCATCTCAGCTTCCTTCATCACTCGAACAAGTCCCTCCAACTTGGTCTTTCTGCTTTTACTTTTTCTCCTTGATTTTGCTTCCCCACAGCCTGTTTTTACACTTTCCAGTGTTCCTTTTAAAGCATAAATCAGATCATGTCTCTCCCACTCTTCGCAATACACCTACCCTTCCACATGCTCTCCCCATTCCCCGTGGCTCTCTATAATCTTATATATATTTTATAATTTATATATTTTCTATCTTATATACATTTGGAATATATTTTTCCGAAGCCTTCCTAAGGTGTGTTCTCCACCAGCTGATCTTTACAGGCCAACAGGATCTGGCCGCTGGTTAACACTGATACTTTATTTCTTCTCCTTCACAAAGCTCTTGCACACTGACTTCCTTGCTATTCTTTGTATTGTACATTCCCAACACACTCCTACCTCTATTTCATTGTCTTGCATTTCCTTGGCCTGGAACAGTCTTCCTCAGTTTCTCCACGCAGCTAATCAACTTTTATTCACTCAGGTGTCTGTTCAGTTCTCACCTCTTTAGAGATCGTCCCTAGGTTTTGTTTGTTTGTTTTTTAATTCCCTTACTGGAATATAACCCCCATGGGGGCAGAGATTTTTCCTGTTTTGTTCACTGCTGTATCTTCCAACTTAGAATCGTGCCTGTGGTTGAAGGAGTGGATGAATTATTGAGCATCATTTACCAGACATCAAGAAAAGTTGCCAGGAATTGTCTGGAGGTCCAGTGGTTAGGACTCCTCGCTTTCACTGCTGAGGGCACAGGTTCAGTCCCTGGTCGGGGAACTAAGATCCTGCAAGCGGTGTGGCCAAAATAAATTAAAAAATAAATAAAATTTAAAAAAGAAAGAAAGAAAGAAAGTTGCCTGGATACATCCTTAGTCTCTTGTCAAGTATGCTGGCTGGTCCAGCTTTTAAGAAAGAAAGTTGCCTGGATACATCCTTAGTCTCTTGTCAAGTAAGCTGGCTGGTCCAACTTTTAATGTGCTCTGAATAACATCAGCCTGCTGGGAACTGCCTAACCTACTTTTCATCCAGCCCAGTTTAGTCTTAGCAATTTAAGCATGCTTAAGAGCTCAGTCTCTGCAGGCAGACATGGGTTTGAATTCTAGTTTTACTAAGCTGTGATCACAGGCAAGCCAATTAATTGCTCTCAGTCTCAGTTTCCTCAACTTTGAAAGGGGGATAATCTCTATCTCAAAAGAAATAGTGTATCATGCAGTCTCCCTACCATGCAGTCTGTCTCTTAGTTTCATCTTTTTTTAAAAAAATATATTTATTATTTATTTATTTGGCTGCGCCAGGTTTTAGTTGCGGCATGTGGGATTTTTTTTTTAAGTTATTTTTATTTTATTTTATTTTATTTTGGCTGCATTGGGTCTTCGTTGCTGTGTGGGCTTTCTCTAGTTGCGGTGAGTGGGGGCTACTCTTCGTTGTGGTGCATGGGCTTCTCATTGTGGTGGCTTCTCTTGTTGCAGAGCATGGGCTCTGGGGTGTAGGCTCAGTAGTTGTGGCACATGGGCTCAGTAGTTGTGGCTCACCGGCTCTAGAGCGCAGGTTTGGTAGTTGTGGCACACGGGCTTAGTTGCTCCGTGGCATGTGGGATCTTCCTGGACCAGGGCTCAAACCCGTGTTCCCTGTGTTGGCAGGCAGATTCTTAACCACTGCAGCACCAGAGAAGCCCCATGTGGGATTCTTTAGCTGCGGCATGTGGAATCTATTTCCCTGACCAGGGATCGAACCCGGGCTCCCTGCATTGGGAACGTGGAGTATTAGCCACTGGACCACCACGGAAGTCCCCTCTCTTAGTCTCCTCTTAAACCACTCTCCCCTCAATAAAATAAAAGTGAAAATTGGAAAAAAATGTGACTTGTTAAACAGAAAAATGATCATGGACTTTTATAAGCTTACTGGAATTTGGTTAGGAAAATACTTTTGACAACAATTCAAGTAACAAGGTGAAGACATTCTGTATTCTGGACAATCCCTGGCCACTATAGTAGCCATTAGCTACATATGGCTTCTTAAATTTAATTAAAATTAAATAAAATTTAAAATTCAGGTCTGCCCCGGTGGCGCAGTGGTTGAGAGTCCGCCTGCCGATGCAGGGGACACGGGTTCGTGCCCCGGTCCGGGAAGATCCCACATGCCGTGGAGCGGCTGGGCCCGTGAGCCATGGCTGCTGAGCCTGCGTGTCCGGAGCCTGTGCTCCGCAACGGGAGAGGCCATAACAGTGAGAGGCCCGCGTAGCGCAAAAAAAAAAAAAAAAATTCAGTTTCTTAGTCATGCTAGCCTCATTCCAGGTGTTCAATAACCGTGTGGTTAGCGGCTCCCATATTAGCAGACAGCACAGATGAATAGAACATTTGCATCATTCCAGAAGGTGCTGTTGGACAGCAGTGTTCCAGAAAATGCTTGGTATAGGCTGGTAGAAACAGGGAAGGGAGAAATTTTGCTCCTTCCTGGAAGTTTGAAAGTTTATCTCTTCATTTATTATTTTATTCATTCATCAGATGTCCCAGTTTGTTCATAATTATGTATTGTCTGGTGACCCCTCAAGCAGTATCTCTCTATATACCATTCCTTTCTTTTCTCTGTCTTCCCTTTCTTTTGTTTCTGTCACCAGCAGAGGCTGTTAGCTTTCTCCTTGAGGATATATATATATTTTTAAAACAAAGAAACAAAGTTTATCCAGTCACTGTAGTGACTGTGGATGTGCCAGAGTAGAGCTACTGAATCATGCTAAGATATGTGGGCTTCAGTCACCGGCAAGGTGAGTCGCTGTAGTTGGGACATTATCATGATTTACAGACATGCCCAACAAAATGAGAAACTATGTCCTCAGGCGCTCTTGTTAAATCTGAGTAGGCCAGGGACCTATAGTATTTATTGAACTCCACCTACTAATGCACTGTAGGGTGGAGGATGGGATGAGCATGGAGTGGGGGTGGAGGGAAAAAGAAGAGCCAGACCTAGAGCCTGTTCACAGGGAGCACTGCAGTCCAGGAGGGGAGACGAAAGCATGTGTGTTAGAAACTGCGTTGTAGGGACTTCCCTGGTGGCACAGTGGTTAAGAATCTGCCTGCCATTGCAGGGGACACGGGTTCGAGCCCTGGTCCGGGAAGATCCCACATACTGTGGAGCAACTAGGCCCGTGCTCCACAACTACTGACCCTGCGCTCTAGAGCCCACGAGCCACGACTACTGAGCCCACGTGCCACAACTGCTGAGCCCACGTGCCACAACTACCGAAGCCCACACGCCTAGAGCCCGTGCTCCGCAACAAGAGAAGCCACCGCAGTGAGAAGCCCGCGCACCGCAAGGGAGAGTAGCCCCCGCTCACCGCAACTAGAGGAAGCCCGCACACGACGATGAAGACCCAACGCAGCCAAAAATAAATTAATTTAGAAAAAAAGAAAAAGAAACTGCATTGTAGGGTGGAAGGTGAAAAATGCTTAGGAGTTACTTTGAAAATTTAGAGTAGGAATAGGTGTTTTAGGGAAGTGAGGAGTCTGGGGTGTCAGGGGAGGCCTTTGCTGGAGGAGATAAGCTGGGCTTATCTGGGCTGGACTTTGGAAAAATAGGCCGCTTTTGGACATGGGGAGATGTGGGTGGGAGGAGGTCAATATTCTCAGAAGAAATATCACTAGCAGGATATGAGGTTGGAAAAGTATGTTAAGGGCTAGATTATGAAGGGATTGGTTAAGCATTTGCGTTTTGCTCTGTGGACCGTGGGGTGAGGCTACTGAAAGGTATCAGCCAAGGTAGTGATGTGACTAGAATTGTCTGAGGCCTATTGAAAAGGCTGTATAATGTAGAGAATGGATTTGGGAGGGAACAAGGGAGGGAGGCTGGAGTGGGTGCCATAGCAATTGAAGATGAGTCCTTGGGTAAGGGGCATTGGGGTTGGTGAGGACTGCTGTGAAAGATACTCACTATAGACAGCATAAAAGACAGAACTCTGGAAACCTGTTTTCATGTTGACAAGAGGGCGATATCAAAGATGACTCAAGGGTTCTAGGCCTGGGTGACTCAGATAATGGCTGGGCTGTTAACAGGAAGAAGAGGAACAGATTTGAGAACAAATATCTTGACCTCAGGTGTGGACAGATTTTGCCATGCCCAACCTTTAGGTGGTTATGTCTTAGCAGGCAGTTGGAAGCATTTCCAGTCAGACTGGCGTTTGTGTGAAAATTAGCTAGTGAGCTAATATTTGTTGAATATCTCCTGTGAAGCCAGCCCTATCTGTGATCAGTGCTACACAGAGTGAGGTTTTTTCTTATTTTTAATGCTGTGCTTTTTAAAAAAAAATTATTTAGGCTGCATCGGGTCTTAGTTGCGGCATGTGGACTTTAGTTGCTGCATGTGGACTTCTTAGTTGTGGCATGTGAACTTTTAGTTGTGGTCTTCATGCAGGATCTAGTTCCCTGGCCAAGGATCAAACCCGGGCCCCCTGCATTGGGAGTGCACAGGCTTACCCAGTGGACCACCAAGGGAAGTCCCCAGAGTGAGGTCTTGAAAAACATATTAAGTCACGCCACTGACTTGCAGGCAAGTCTTAACAGAGGTTGAGTCACAATCAGGAAAAATGTATTTCATTTCTATTAAGTACAAGCAACTATTGCTAGGGATGACAAAGTGAGTAACACACAGTCGCAGCCTTAATGGAAGTGGAACCGAGAGGGGAAGGCAAAGTTTCTCATAAAAGCATGCTTATTGTGCTTTATAGTTTAGTAACTTTTCTCTTTTGCATTGATGCTTAGTGGCACTACCGTCCAGCCGAACTCAAGCCCATAACCTAGTAATCATCCCTGACTTCCCCCTAAGTCTGTAGTCAGTCACCAAATCCTGTGACTCTTAGAAAGCTCTCACATACGTTCTTCCCTTTCTGCTGTCATTCTGGTAGTTCATGCTAGTGGCTGTCAACCTGGAGAACCCTGCATATTGGAATCACCTGGGGAGTTTTTAAAAAGTCAGATTTTTGCATCACTCAGCTTCAGTGAAGATCAGTATATCCCCCAAAACATTTTTTTCAAACTGAGCCAGTATTGAATAAAAGAGGGTTTTACTGAATCTTTTTTTTTTTTTTTGCGGTATGTGGGCTCTCACTGTTGTGGCCTCTCCCGTTGCGGAGCACAGGCTCCGGACGCGCAGGCTCAGCGGCCATGGCTCACTGGCCCAGCCGCTCCGCGGCATGTGGGATCCTCCTGGACCGGGGCACGAACCCGTGTCCCCTGCATTGGCAGGCGGACTCTTCAGCCACTGCGCCACCAGGGAAGCCCTACTGAATCATTTTTTAAACAAATATAACTATGTGCATATACACACATATACATAAAATAAGGTCATCTTTCCTAACTACGAAGTCCTGAGTAATTGGTTTTATTTGTAAACTGGGGTAAAAGGATTTTTGAAAGCAAACTTTTGTTAAATAATGGCTTTTGGACGTTGTCAGTGCATTTGAGTTATGACAGAATTGCTAGACTTTTTAAAGTGTGAAAAGTCAAAATGTGAAATGTCTCTTAGCACCATTATGTTTTCAGTAATATCCAAACTTTGTGTGAACTGGGAGTGTACAGACTGGCAGGGGTATCTTACTATTCTTTGGAATCTCCTCCCGATGGTATTGCTGTCTTCTTTCCCCTTCCCTTCCTCTTTTTTTTTTTTTTTTTTTGGCCTAGCTGTGCAGCTTGCGGGATCTCAGTTCCCTGACCGGGGATTGAACCCTTGCCACAGCAGTGAAAGCCCGGAATCCTAACCACTAAGCAGCCAGGAATTCCTTCCCTTCCTTTTTTCATTAGGGTATTTTGTGAACTTGAATTCTCAACAGTAAATGTATCCACTTATTTCTTATTCTCCATTACACAATTTTCCCATAGTTAGCACTCTTGGTTAGTGAATATTCAGTAATCCCAGTGAAAGAAAAATGACATCTTTAGTATGACAGGTTTAGGAAAGTAGTAGTGGTAGTAATTCATCACCTGTGAGGAGCTTATCTTTTCTGGTGCCAGCAAAGAAGATAGTATTTTCTGGGACTTTGATACATGCTTTAATGAAATATTGTTATGTGGAAGACTCTAATATATGTCTGAAACAAAAATTATTCTTGTAGTTCTCAAAATGAGATGTTATCAGAGCTTTTACGATCATTTTTCTTGTATCTAATGGACATAGTTAAAGCAGAGTAGGGATAAAGTTGGTAATTAAAGGATTATACAAAGAACACTAATTCACTGCTAAAATTGGAACTAGAAAGTAAGAACTACAGAAGTGTAGAGGAAGGAAATGTCAGGGTTTTGTTAATCTAAAAAGATTTAATGAATACAGTGTGGGTTAGTATTGGAGTAGGCAGAGGGGAGTAGAAATCACATGTAAGGTAGGGAATGGAAAGAACATTTAATTTCTAAATCAGTGAATTAATAATAAATACGTGTTTGATGTCCTGACATTAGAGCTGAAAATAGGTAGCATGGTACAGTGGGATGAGCATGGGCTTTGGCTTAAGATCTTAAATCATGATATAGAACATTTTTATAATCTTAAAAAATTTCCTTGAACTCCTTTGCATTCATTCAGTCCCATTCCCTTGACCTCTGGCAACCACTGATCTGCTTTTCTACCACAAAGCCTAAACTATTTACTATCTGGCCCTTCACAGAAAAAGTTTGCCAACTCCTGACCTAGAAGGAAGAGTCTTACAAGGATCATTGTTGGTTCTTTTTCTGACTGTCCCATGACTTGCTGATTAAAAAAATATATATATATATATATTGCAGTTGATGTTGGTCTCTTTTTTAGGCTGTTAATAGTGAATGTAGATTTTTTTTTGTCTCAGGCATCTTTGGTTAGGTCAAGAGTGATGAATTATAGAGAGCTCATCAAAATGTCTCACCTCCAACTGCGTTGGTGAAGAGCAAATGGGTATTGTTTGGAAAGAAACATGATTAAAATATAATGCAAGTGCTGACATTCTTCACCGATACTTAGCATAGCTCTTTCGGCAAAACTGTAGGTTTATCTATTATTTAAATTTCTAGGCTTATTTTTCAAAAGGAAAGTTGGAGGAAGAGAAAGAAGAAGCCACAGCTGAAAACTAGTCACTTGATAAAGAAGTGGTAGTAAACCTTTAAACTAGACACTGTTCTAAATAATTTAATCTATCTTAACTCAATTACTCCTCTCAGCACTCTGAGACACCATTATTATTGCCACTTTCCACCTGTGAAAATCGAAGCACAGAGAAGAGTAAGTGACTTGCCAAGGTCACACAGCTGGTAGTGGGCAGGCCAGGGTTTCAGCCCAGTCAAGTGAGGCTCCAGAGTACACTCTTTTTTTTTTTTTTTTTTTTTTTTTTTTTGTGGCCGCTCAGCATGTGGGATCTTAGTTCCCCGACCAGGGATTGAACCCATGTCCCCTGCAGTGGAAGCACGGATTCTTAACCACTGGACCACCAGGGAAGTCCCAGAGTACACTCTCTTAAGGACTGTATCGTGTTGCCTTTCTAAGAATTGTAATAAGTAACATTTATTGACCACTTACTGCAAGGCAGGTAATCTTCTAAGGTCTTTGTATGTATTAGAATGTTTAATGTTCACAACATACTTAACATATGAGGAGAAGGAAGGCTTTGCGTAAAGTGTCAAAACTAGAAAGTGCTGGGCCTGGGATCTGATCCCAGTCAGTCTACCTCCAGAGCCTGTGCTCCTCACCACTGTACTATGCTGTAGATTCTCTCTCCATTATTGCTCAGAATGGTACTTGTATACTTTTTCC